CTTTCTCTCCTTCCTTCCTTCCTTCTCTTTTTCACTTTCTCCCCTTCCTTCCTTCCTTCCTTTCTTTCTCTTTTTCACTTTCTCTCTTTCCTTGTCTTTTTTCTCTTTCTTATCTTCCTTTTCTTCCCTTTCTTTTCTTTTTCTTTCTTTTCTTTTTTCTTTTCTTTCTCCTTGCTTTCCTTCTCTTTCTTTCCCTACCAAAACCTAGGGACATTTAAAAAAAAAAAATCACAGTCACTACAAAAATGTGACCGTGACGGTGCCCCGCCCAACAGGCCCAACCTCCCACCCCACCCCCCAAAAAATCCCTAGAATGCCAACAGAGAAAAACAAAGACCCGGGGCCGCTCTGCCACCTGTCTTCTCAAAAGGGGGGGGGCAAACCCACCAGTGGATGGGGTGGGTGGGTAGATGGGTGGCCAGCCCCCTTCCTTGCCGCCCTTAACTCGGCTGCCCCACCCCAGACCGTTTCCCAGCGGTGAACAGCCTCATCCAGCGGATCAACCTACGCAAGCGACGGGACACCCTCATCCTGGGGGGCGTGATCGGCGTCTGCACCATTCTGCTGCTGCTGTATGCTTTCCATTGATGGAGGACGCCGTGCACGGAGAGACTTCTGGGACCATGATCTGCCCCTGCGAAGGGGCGGGCAGACTGCGGCGGGACCCCCCCTCCCTTCAATCTGGGGACGTGGAGACCCAAGTGACCGTGGCAGGTGGACTCTCTCTTTCCTTCCTCCACAGCTGGCCACGGGTCCCGAAGGTGACACCCGGTTCGTCCCTCGTCCTGCTCTCTTACACTGAGGACACGGCTCCCTTCTGCCCATTAAATGTCTTTTCTGCCTTTTCTACCATTTCGCCTCTCGTCGTAAGGCGAGGCAGACCCGGCCCACCTCCACCCCCTCGCCCCAATTCAGCTGTCGCGTCTACCTTCCAAAGGAGAACCGTTATTTCTCCTTTTTTCCGACCTGTCTCCCCGAGAAAACCCCTCTCGTCAATTTAACACAACTTCGCCCTGACTTGGCGACTTCAAAACTTTGGCCCGGCCCGGTTGGAGAGCCGAGATCCACGGAGAGAAATTCTTCACCAGACATTTTTTATTTTTATTTGAGGAAGGTGATCCTCAAAGGATGGGTCGGTAAGTATCCCGCCGTTTTTGGAGAAGACCACTTCCTTCTGATCTCTTTCCCACAGCATTCGAGAACGGCCGAAACACAACCGGTTCACCGAGGCCGGGAAAAATGTCCCAAAACCAGAGAACCGGGGTCTTTCCTTTCAACATGGAGAACATTCGTGAGACGGACCCTCGGTGGAGACTTTTCGCCAAACTGGAAACGCGGTTGATGTTTTACAGATCCCACTGGAAAACAAGGGAGCGCGCTCCTCGTCTCGAGAGCGCCCCCCAAACAGCGAAGGGGATTAAAAGAGAGCAAGTGGCGTTTGGGCATCCGAATCGGCGGACCGTTTTAGCAGGGGGTAATCTTGGCCAAAAGAGTTTCCCGCAAGGTCCTCGCCTTCTTTGTCCGACTTCGGTTTGGTTCCCGTCCTAACAAAGACACCGGATGTCCCCCACCCACCACCCTTGCTTCGAAACAAATAAAATTTGAAAAAAGAGATGTCTATTACATACCCTTGGAGAGAAAGCAAGAGATTTGGGCTTTTTTTTTATCGGCAACCCAAGCCAGCCCAAGACAACAATGTGCATTTATTAGTTTAGCCAGCGGGGATCATGGGGTAGGGAGTCCCAATGGATTCAAAAGTGGGAAGAGTGACTTAGAGAGCTTTGGTTCCTGGGAACCCTGGTTCTCACCTCCATTCCTACATGGTGACCTTAAACCAGGGTGGGCAACTAGGGTGCTTTATAATCTTTGGACTTCAACTCCCAGAATTCCTGAGCCAGCCATTATTGGCTGGCTCAGGAATTCTGGGAGTTGAAGTCCACAGGTCCTCAAGTCGTCCATTCCTGCATTAAATACTAGCTTACGATGGTTTTGTTCGAATAGATTCCAGAAACTAGCCACTATAGCAGAACTTCTTAAATTAATAAACTATTCGTTCTCTTCCGGGTTCGCAAAACTGTCTAATCCTGTTAACGCTACGAATAAAAGAAAAAATGACAAGATAGTTTTTTGGTTTTTTTTGGCTGCAAGAGGTTGCTTGAGGTTAGAGAATACTTCCTTTTGCAAATAAAGCATTTATTGTCCCTTCCAGAATAAGGAGCAAAGCAAAAGTTTCAGAGGTGAATTTGAATTTGTTTTAAGAACTCTTTTGAGTTAAAAAAACGCTGCTGGAAGTTTTTTTTTTATTTTATTCTGGTTTGTTTTTTTTAAAATTTGTCTTTTCTTTCCGCGTTTCTGCTGAGATAGGAAGAGGGTTATCTGATTAATAAATTACTAAGAAAATGGTTGCATTATCTCGCTAACAAAAATGAAAGGGGGGGGGAAAAGCACTCTCTCTGAATAAAACGTATTTCTTTAATCTTAGGATTCTTGTTTTTTCATTGGTTTCGCCTTCTGGGTTTCGATGGAAAGGTGTCAAAATGATTTGAGACGCGCAATCAGCTGAGTTTGCCCAGCACATGAAACTAAACTACGATTGATTTGACGGGGGTCTATAGCATGGGTCCCCAACCCCTGGTCTGTGGACCGCTACCGGGCCGTGGCATGCCAGCAACCGGTCCACACAAACAAGCAAAGTCCCATCTGTGGGATGCAGGCAGCACACAAAACCACGCACCCTCCAGTCCGTGGAAAAACCTTTATCCACAGAACCGGTGATCCCTGGTGCCCAAAAGGTTGGGGACCTCTACCCTAAGGAATACTATATCAGTATTTACTATATGCTATATAATATAGCAGTCTCTTTAGGGGTTACAATACTATAATCCCTAAAGAATACTATAGCAGTATTTCAGCATTGGAGGGGCTGCCCCAAAGAAGAGGGGGGGTCCACCTCTTCTCCAGAGCACCAGAAGGCAGAACAAGAAGCAACGGATGGAAACCGATCAAGGAGAGAATTAAGGAGAAATTTCCTGACCGTGGAAACAATGAACCAGTGGAACAGCTTGCCACCAGACGTTGTAGGTGTCCCATCAGTGGAGGTTTTCGAGAAGAGACTGGACAACCATCTTGTCGGAAATGGTGTAGGGTCTCCTGCTTGAGCAGGGGGTTGGACTAGAAGACCTCCGAGGTCCCTTCCATTATGCTATTGTTATCTATGCTTGAAGACCCCCACTGGATCCCCTTCCAGGTATTTTGAGGCAGAACCCCTAAGGCAGGGGTCCCCAACCCCCGGTCCGTGGACCAGACCGG